AAACAAACACTGGAGGCGGAAGGTGTTTGTGGGTAGCGAACGCCAGCCTGAACTTGTATATTATCCTGTAGGAACTTGAAAAAAGTTTTGTTTCCTCTGTGTCCGAGGAAAACAAAATCTGGAGGCGGAAGGAGTTAAGTCCGTAAAGAACGCTCCTGAACTCTCTATAGGAAAGACCTATGATGCTCTCGACTAGAGAGAACTTCGTTAGAGATCTCCTCACACTACAAGGACTGTAATTCATTGTAACACCTATTTTAAAGAACTGTGAATGGCAACGACTTAACTGAGGAATACGCATGCGTAAAGAGATGAGCCTTCTGGTCAGACGCCTGTCAGAGAGAGTTTTGGGAAGCTCCGCCAGCGAGCTGAGGAGTGGAGACTAAATTTGTCCAGTTATGACGAGTGCTATCTTCGTTAACGTCTCTGATCGTGTCACCAACTCGGATATGTACTCAAGTTTTTCTAAATGTATTAATTAAATGTTGTATCTGTGGTATGTGCTGTAATTAAAGTGATGCATCACCAATACCAGTTTTGATTCCGTTCCCACTGAAGCATCCACGATGTTACAGAGGTTTTTTAAATTATTAAAAGAGGCCGGTTGTACAATTAACGCATCAAAATGCAAGTTCGAGACTAAAGAACTTAAATATATGGGTTATAAAATTTCGCAAAAGGTTATAGAAACTCAGGATTCAAAAATAAAAGCCATCAAGAATTTCCCACCTCCCAACTCCGCCAAATAACTTTCTTCTTTCCTTGGGTTATGTTCTTATTATCGGTCGTTCATAAAAGATTTTGCGAACATTGTTGAACCGTTTTTAGTAATTAAAAGAAAGAAAAAATAAGTTTACGTGGACAGCAGAAGCAAATACTGCATTTGAAAGGTTAAAAGAAGCACTCATCAATGCCCCTGTTTTGAAATTCCCGGAAAGGGACGAAAAACCTGGAAATTGCAGCAGATGCGTCGGACTATGCCGTAGGTGCGGTTCTCATGCAAAATGGCCATCCTTTGGCATTTTTTAGTAAAACTTTAAACTTCTACGCAAAGGAATTATACAGCTACAGAGAGAGAAACATTAGCCGTATTAATGGCTGTACACAAATTTCGAGTTTATTTCGGCAAACCGCCAGTAACAGTCTTTTCGGATAATGCGGCTGTTGGTAGACTTTACTCAAGGAAAAACCTAACGCCCAGGTTAATCAGATGGGCTTTAAAACTTCAAGAATATAACCTAGTAATTAAATATAAACCGGGTAAGGAAAACAATGTTGCTTAGACGCACTATCTCGAATAAAACTTGGACGATGAAGGCAATGAACTCAAATGCGCTGTGTTGACTATTTGTTTCTCTAAATCTAAAATTTTTGAGAATTCTTAGGTTCTAGAGAAACAAATTATTGCTGAATTGAAAGCTGATCCTGAATTTGGAAGTATCTATGCGTATTTGAAAGACCCCGAAATCTTTGAACACACAGATATCGATGCAATAAGAAATAGAGCAGAAAACTATGAAATAATAGATAATTTATTGTTTTATACGAAAGCAACAAACGAAAATTTCGAATATAAACCAGTCATCCCAGCCTCGCTTCGATTAAGCATTTTGAAGGAATTACACGACGCGCGAAAACAGCGGGTCATTTAGGGGTCAGAAAAAACTGAAAAAGGGTACGCGAGGCGGTATATTTCCCGCAATTATACAAAATAGTAACTGCGTATGTCAGGTCCTGCAATCAATGTCAGTTAATAAATGATATTAATTACAGCCCGGCCGGGTACTTAAATAGCATTCGCGCTACATTTCCGAATGAAATTTTAGGCATAGATCTTCTTGGTCCTTTCCCCCAGAGTGAGTTAAATAAAAATCGTTTTCTTTTAGTAATTGTAGATCATTTTTCAAAATGGACAGAAATTGTTCCACTTAAACGCGCGTCAGCCAAAACAGTCGCAGATGCATTCTTACACAGATACATTTTAAAATACGGTGCACCGATAAAAGTCATTAGCGATAACGGTAAACAATTCGTTAGCCAAATATTTGAAAACATTTGCACTGGGACTTGGCATACGCCATATCAAAATGGTTCCGTATAGACCACAGGCAAACATCGCAGAAAGAGTTAATAAAAATATTGTAAAAATAATTCGAAGTTATGTTAGCACACATCACAAGCGCTGGGATGGCTACATAAATGAGTTAGCTTATGCTTTAAGAACATCAAATCATGATACTACGGGAAAAACTCCAGCAGAATTATTTTGAGGACGGAAGTTAATTACGCCACTAGATAAATTATTCTTTGTGCAACAAAGAGAGGAAGAATTCAAAAAAAAAAAAAAAAAAAAAAAAGATATACAGAAACTCACTGATCAGGCGGGGTTAAAAGTTCGGATACGGCAATAAATAGACAGAAACTGTACTATGATCGAAAACGCCGTGAAGCAGATTTTAAAGTTGGGGATAGTGTTAAAGCGGAAATTTTCTTTATCAAGTTCCCCAGACAATTTCACTGCAAAGTTGGCTCCAAAATTTGAAGGCCCCTATGTAATTCAGGAAATCAAGGGAGTCGTATTGTACCTCAAGAACGAGAGAGGGGAAACCTGTAAAGCAAGTCCCGACCAGGTGAAAAAATATTATAATCAAAATGATTTGAAATCCTTAAAAGTTTCTTGCAGGACTCAAGCGCAAAAGAAGTGGAAGGTCCAGAAGTAACGCCACCCGCTCTACCACCCAAGAAGCAGAGAACAGAAGAGGAACCTAGCCCTTCTACAAGTCATGCTACGGTCCCGAAAAGAAGAAAGGAAAATATTCAGACTCCAGCATTCAAGAAATACAAGAAATCAACGCCGCCGCGTAAAGAATCTTTGGTAAATAGGAAAAGACCAGTTACAACGTCCCGCAGTAGAAATTCTGCGTCGAGGAAAACCACTTCCAGGGCCAGATAGTCAGGAGCAAACAAGGCCGCCGTTCACGAGAACAAAAAGACAGAAAGAGGAACGAAAAGACCACCACCAAACAGAAGAAAATTCCAGACCGGAGGCGAAGACCAGCCGTCCAGGGGCAAAAAACGGAAGAAGACTACCACTCCAAGAGGCTGGCGTACAGAGGGCGAAAATGAAAAGTCACCATGGACGAAACTCGAAGAACCCAAAGAAGACGATTGACTTCTATGAATTCCATAACGTGGGATCAGTTCTGCCAGAAGAGGATGTCGGAGTTCCAATCATCGAAAACTCAAAGATAAGTTAAAATCTTCTATAAATTTTTTCTTTTGTTCCGAAATGTTATGCGTAAATACGAAGTTCTATGTTTTGACGGAAGTCAATTTGTCTCGGTTGAGACTTAGTTTTGTTTTACTTTATTTAGCTAAGGCAAAAGTATTATTTTCTTTAAGTGTAAAATCTAAGAGCAAGCAGTTCCTGTTGGTCGAAAGACTAATTCTGTTATGTTAAAGCCAAAATTTGGCCGAAAGTAAAATAACTTCGTATTCTTGTATTAATGAAAATTTAGTTTCAGTGCCGCCAGCTTGGCGAAGAAGCGTGAAGTAAAATTTTATTTTTATCTTATTCATTTTATGGTAAATTGTAAAAATCATATGTATTAGAATTTTGTAAATATAGGTAAATACTTGAAAGTTATGTAAAAGTAGAATTTAGTCTAGAAGCATAAAATTTTAGATGCTAAAAGTAAATGCTCGAAAGAAATGAATTCAAATTTAAGTATTAAACAGTAGATAAAATCATGCTTTAGAGCGAAAGCCTGCATGTCTAAAGATGAATGAGGGGGAATTTAGAATGAATGTGTTTTGTAGGGTTCTCCACCTACACTTGAATTTTAAGAATGTTAAACATAGCTCATCGAGTTTTCAGTATGTCGATTAAGGTGTGTCTATTTGGTCGTTGAATTCTAAAACAAATCATTGTGGTTAGGGGAAGTGTTGTAATACAAAAACACGAATATTCCCGTTTGACACCACACATGGTGGAGAACCAGGTATAAAGTTAAATTCATGTTTGAATACTTGAATTGAATGTGAATTAAGCAGTTAATTAAGGAAAATAAAAGGATCGAAAACGAAAACTTTATCCAGTGTTAAGAAAGTGTAAATCATAATGTATTTAGAATATACTGATACTTATTCCTTCCAGATGCTGGAAGGAAGAGAAAAAAGATTGATTGCTGAAGACCAGAAAGGATCCTGTAAGAAGAAATGGTAATTTTATGTATCTCTACAGAAATGATTCTAATTTTTGAGAAAACAGATTTGTTTTATGTAAACGGAGGCTCTTGAGTTTTAGATCAGAATGTGGAAACTTTTTCAACAGGTCGTTTCTAGGACCTGCTTCCAAGTTTACCAAATTCTGGCAGCGGCAAAATGTAGGGTTTATATTTATTTTAACTAACATTTATTTTAAGCTATCTTTCCTGTCAAGCCTTTACTTTCCCCTGGAATTGCCAATGCCAGAGTATGTAAATTTTAGTAGAACGCGCAGAGTATTCAAATTTTTAGCAGAAGTAATTTTGAGTTAAATAGAAGGGAAACGAGATTTGTAAGTGTGCTTCTTGATTCACGAGCGTGAAGGTTGCTAGGTAGAAATTTAAGAACCGCGCGTTTCGGCCTGTGTGCCTACTTCGGCAGTTAGTTGAATCTTTCAACTTCTTAATCAGAAAGTTTGCTGAATCTCAGCTGTATCTTAGAACGCGGTTAAGATAGTTACAATTATAAAGCTTCATAGATAGTGACTTCGTTATTTATTCCTTCTGTTATTTATTTTTAGTTGTACTTTTCTATTTTTGTTACACCTCCGGCTCGGCGTAGTTTGTGAGCGTCAAGTGAACGCAACTGTAATTTCTAAAGTGAAATAAAAAGGGATTAAACCCTTCTTACGAGTTAGTGTAACTTCCAGTTCATAGCAGCGCAAACTATAACATCAAGGTGAAATATCGTGCAACCGCAGTGCCTGCAATGAAAGAGGAAATATGTATACTTACTAAAGCACGACCTTCCATTTGAGCCAAGCTCATAACCATCTTTACAAGAACACTCGAAAGAGCCCAAAGTATTTCGACAGATGTGGTTACAAGGAGTTTCGTTACATTCGTCTATATCTGAAAATATTAAACACCTTTAAAATATCTAAAACAAGAATTATTGATACAAAGACACACGTTTTATGTATGTAATTAACACAGATTTCAGTTAATAGCGGTAATCCCATAATTTTAATAAAATTTAGAAAATGATCCGAAAGGAAAACAAGCTTCATTTAAAAAGCATATCATTCATATATCCTGACGTAAATAAAGAGGTTATAAATTAAAAAAGTGCAATTAAAAGATAAAAATTACTAAACTGCACTCAAAACATTTATTACTAAAATACACTAAAATTATTACATTGAAAATTTTTAAATTACTGAAACTAAATTACATTAAAATTATTAATTACATTAAAAAGGACTAAATTGCTAAATTACACTCAGAAAAATTACAACTAATTTTACACTCTAAATTACTCATATTACTGAAACTGAACTACACTAAAATTATTAACTGCAGTAAATTTTATTTATTTACTAAATTACACTCAGAAATGTTATTAATAAATAATAGTAAAATATTACACTTAAAAATTATTTAAATTACTGAAACTAAGTTACATTAAAATTACTAAATTTCTTAATTGCACTAAAAGAATTTACAGCTAAATTCTACTAAAAATTTAACACTCAGAATTATTTGAATTACTGAAACTGAACTACCCTACAATTATTAATTACATTAAAAATTTTTAAACTACTAAATTACACTCAAAAATTTTATTATTAAATGATAGTAAAAGTATTATACTTAAAAATTACTTAAATGACTGAAACTAAACTGCACTAAAATATTACATTAAAAATTATTTAATATGTTAAACGTTATTAACATATTAAATTACACTCAGAAAGTATATTACGAAACACTAATAAAAGTATTACATAAAAAACTACTCAAATTACAGAAACTAAATTACCCTAAAATTATTAAACTGCTAAATTATGTTGAATCAATTTAATACTAAATGGTAGCTCAAAAGTTACTCAAATTGTTGAAATTAAAACACACTAAAATTGTTAAAATCTTAAATTACGCTCTGAAATTTCTGTATCTTAGTAACGGATGAAAAGATACAAATACTTTATTTTTAATTTTAATTTTATTCAGCATTCAACTTAACATTCCCATAAAAATAGCTTACCTTTTCAAATAACTAATGACAAATAATTTGGTAAGTTCATGCATTAAAAGCATACAAACCTTGACATGTTTTTTTATCTCTTTGTAACTGAAAACCCTCATGACACAAGCACTGAACCGTACTGAGGGATGAAATGCAAATATGGTCACATCCTCCATTATCCACAGAACATGGGTCAAATCCTGCAATAAAATCTTTTTTTATTTACCTAAAACTTTACATCAGTATGAAATAAAAATAGAAGCTATTAGTGTAAATATAGTGTTAATATTAATTGTATTAATACCAACTTAATAAATTTGAAGAATATAACGCATCAAAAACGCTCTTATTTATGAACAAGCTTAGAATCGCTAGCATCTGTAACAGATTTTCATACTTTTTGTATTTTGCCTTTTATAACGTAAAAAAAGATTTTCTTAACCGTTGAGGCGGGAAAAAAAAAAAAAAAATGTGAAAAAGGTCACAAAAGAAGAATAATTGACTCTATATTTGAATAGTTAGGGCACAGAGTTTGAAACGAAATTCTTGTATTTGATGAGCAATCTATGTGGGGATTTGTCGTTAAATTTCTATGCACCCAGCGAATGACAGTTCAGTTCCAAGTAGGTAAATTTCTTCTTAGAAATGAAGATTGTCAATTAATTTAATTTCTGTGAAGGTACATGCATTATGTTTCAAATTAATTAAATCGGAAAAGAACATATAAAAGATCTTAATATTTTAGAAGGATAGCAACTAAAAATATTAGGTAAACAATAACATCAGGGTGAAATATCGTGCAACAAATCATCAGGGACGAAAGCAAAGGAAGCATTGAAATTTCAGAATGCCATAGTAAAATATTTTGTGTTAGAAAAAACAGATGAGAATATTACTTCGAAATTTGGAAATGTTTTGGTAAACAAAGGCAGCTTAAAACATGCCATAACAAAAATATCGCTACAGCATACATTCTGTGTGTCTAAGGCTGCTATCACACGTCGGTTTGTTTCGGAAGAACAACTGTTTGGAGCAATTTTTCTGCTTTGTCACAACAGCCAATCAAAACAGATCGCTTTGGGTTAACGCAGGGAAAACTGGTTCCCCACTACAAACAAGCTGATAGCAATCGAAGCTGATAGCTGACGGGTTGAAAACGAACAACCTGCAATTTTTTTGGAAAGGAAGGAAAAAGTCGCACGTCTTTCCTTTCAATAGTAAACCAGGCAGAAAAATTGTCCGAAACAGTTGTTCGTGTGAAACAAACGCCGTGTGATATGGGCCTAAGAAGTATAAAATTTGGTTTGTAGAAGCTTTCGCGATTGTGTAACTTTATAATAAACATTTAGCTGGCATAAGAAAATCAAAATTATTAAAAATTGCATTGTTATTTATAGGTTTGTTTGGGTTTTACCCAAGAATAGCATTAGTAATGCAGGAATATCATTCCTTCAGGCATAAAAATTAAGATAATTTTTAAATTATGCAACTTTGAGATGGTTATTGTAATAATTTTTAGAACTGAAACTTATTTAAAAGATTTATTGAAAGAATAATTTACAACTAAAAAAAGAACAATATTGTAATTGCCTAATTACTCTATAGAACTTTTTAGAGGTTGTTTATTAATTCGAAGTCTTCTGACATATGAAAAACAAAATCTCTCATATGTGACACTCAAATTAAGACGAGAAATTACTGTATTCCCAAGCGTATAAGCCGCACTCTTAATTTTTACCTCTAATTAAAACAGAAATTCTCCAGCATAAGTCCAGGTTAGTGTGTGTATTATTTACACTATTTTTTTCGTTTTGGAGATGTTGAGTTTTAGGCATTTTCCACCATCGCACATTCGACTCACTCACGTCAAAACAAAGTACGACACCTCGGTTCTTCTTTATTTTCCTCACAGAATCATATAAATTGCAGCTAAAAATGTGTATTGTAGTTACATCTTTTGCTCGAACAAACTATCTGCAACAACAATTAAACTTGTACAGTCCTGTGTAACGTTGAAGAGACATTAGTTTATTGATGCAGGAGACATGAAAAATGCGCAGTGCTTCCGTCCGGATTCAAACACCGGATCTCTCGAATGCTAGACGGACGTGCTATCCACATACACCTCCTAGGCGCGCAGAAAGAAGGGATAAAATACCTTATATTCTCCCCCTTTTAAAGGGTGACTGGGGATAAGGAGACCCAATCACCAAATGTTGGTGGTGACAAATTATCGTTTATCACCATTTACTTCGAGCGCCACTTGTAGAATCATTACGTTTATCGATGCAGAATACGTGAAAAATGTGCAGTATCCTCGCCGGTTTTCGAATACTGGGCCTCACGATTGCCAGCTCGACGTGCTATTCAGTTACACCACGAAGGGACGCGGAAGGAGGGAATAAAATATCTTATAATGCTCACTGAATAACAGTTGGATTTTACACTCAATCATTAAATACGTGCTGCTGAGTTGCCACAAGTTTGTTCACAATTTCACGTGTTGCATCCCAGATTTTCTTTTCTTTTCTTTTTTTTTTTTTTTTTTTTTGTTTTGTTTTGTTAAAAGTGCTGCTCATACATGAGAGAATACGGGGAAAAAATTATAACTTCAAAGACAAAATAATCTAAGTAAATCAAATCAAAATAAAGTAAACTTAAGACTAGATATATCATGGTACAGGATCAATAAAAGGGTGGGTCACAATAGTTTGCAACAACATGATAAGAAAATATGAAAAATGTGTACACAGGTTATAAATTACTGCTTTGTAGTTCATATGCATTTTTTATGCTTTCTTACAAGTTCCTATGTAAAAAAATACGCATTAAATTAATTTGCTCTCTATTATCATGTTATTTAACCACTTTTTACATCAGAAATCTCAAGGCTGACATTTTTTTGAAAATGGTTTTAGTTTGTCAGAGATTTTCTATCTTAGTAAATATTCATTTAAAGAACACATTTACTATGAACAGAGTGACTGTGTACTAATACAAGGGATAAATTACTATTAATGATCAATAATTTAATTAAAAAGTAACGGAATAAAGTACAGTTTTCTTTTGCATAACTAAAATACATGTAATTTTGTAAAAAATACTTAAATTTATGATATTTTCATTTGCGATTCTAACATTAAATCAGGCCCACCAGCGGCCGAGCGGTGAAGTCGATGAACACTGGTAGTTCAGTCCGAGGTTCGAATCCCCCGAACGGGCTGGCTGCATGGGCGTTTTCGTGGTTTCCCCATGTGTAACGTGTATACGAGCCAGTTTCCCTTAGAACGTCCTCCACGAAGGCATCCCTCGCCTTAGGCAGATAGCCTTCGAGGCTTTGCCATAATCACACACACGTAACATTAAATATAATCAATCAAGTAACAGCAATGTTAATCATTATTTGAATGATTTCCAAATCATACAAAAGAAAATAGTTATACAAAAGGAAAAAAGTAATTAATCATCATTTAAATATTATTAATTTAAAATAAAATTAAAATGACTCCCAAGACAATAAATACATCAAAGTTGTCTCGTTTATTTTTTCTAAATTCTTCCTAAGAATAGTGATATTTTAAGGGCTAATAAATGTATAGCATTTAGAAGATACGCAAAAATAATTTTGGTAAAATATTTTAGCTCGATTTGAATATTTAATTAAAAGTTTCCTGTGCTTGGTTAACCATTACACAAACATTTGAAGTTCTTTGTAGTTATTCCTGAACATTTTTGTGTGAAATATTTTTAGGCTATAACGTAAAAAATATAGACTCTTCTGTCTGTAAATCCACAAGGTATAATCTAATAGACAAATTAAAGTTAACCTTCGTTTAACCTTCCTGTGTTGTGCTTTAAAATGCGCTCTGGAAGTATGCTCTGATATGCTGCGGTAAAGTAGCTGAATATTGATAGTTTGTTCCGGGGTTCGAATTACGGCAAACGGGAAGTCTGCATGGTCGTTTTCGTGGTTTTTCCCATGTGTAACCCAAGCCAGTTCCCCTTAGAATGACCTCCACGACAACATCACCCCTTTACACAGATGGCCTTCGAGTGCTTTGTCATAATTAAATAAACCAAAACCAGTTGGCGAGACTGTTGCAAGAAATAGAAGCAAAGAATAGATTTATCATAAAAATAGCACACTGATTAAAATAAACCTTATATTTGTATCGCTTTGTAACGCCTTACTGTTCAAGTTTTTAGGTTTTTCCCAGTAAAATATTCACGTAAAGAGATGAATTTCAGGGTAATTTTTTGCAGGATAAATGTATGTTTACTTTCGCATGTTCTCCTATCTTCTTTCAAAATAAATCCGTCTTAGCACTGGCAAGACACCCCATCGTTCCTAAAGTGACAAATTTGGGAGCAGCCTCCATTCTTTATGGTACAAGGATCAATTCCTAACAAACTAGTTCTTTCACATTTAATGAGGGATGTCTTTAGAAGGATGCAATGTGTCTTTAAAAAGCAAAACAATAAAATTATCTTGAATAACTGATCTTAAATTTATGATATAGGATCGTACTCTCTTCAGCCACATAAACTCTACGAGATCCTATTAAGGAAACTGGCGACTTATCGCACAGGCTTAAAGGAAACAATCACAGAAGAAGGGTAAAAACAACCCTTTATTATTTTCAACTATGAATGTACACTGCGCCCCCCCCAAAAAGGACAGTTCTATATCTCCCATCCTACTGGGCCGATTGACTAAATTCAAACTGCGTTTTTCATGTCTCAAAAGCACTACGCAGGATATATATTAGATTTATATATAGCATTATTCTAACATAGGTATTTTGACACAAAATCGAACTTTTTCTGAAATAACATACCCATTTTTTTCCATATTTCGATTCTGCGACTGAAAGTTTGCCTAGATATTAAATTTTGTAAAATTTTGGTGCGAAATTTACGGAGAAATTCAAACATTTATCTTAACGAACTTTTTTCAGTTTGCGCCAAGAATAATTTACTTGGCGAACTTCTTAATTTATGGCAACCTAACGTTCCTTTTTTGCATTGCAGGAGAACGGAAAAAAAGTAATCGTTCATACTTTCAAATAATTTTCACAAAGTGCGTAAAGCACATTTGATATTATTATCGCTTTTAACAGATATGCCAAATTTCAAAACGCGCCACTATATAAATTCACGAATATCATCGGAAAGTTTAAATAAAAAACTGTAATTTTTT